CTGCCTCTTTGTCAGTCTAAGCCAATCCTATGGGGAAGCATTGTGATTGGATCAGGCTACCACTTCTGATGATGTCAGCAGACTGCATGTTTTTCTGAGTCTAACAGCATGCAGAGTTACAGCTTCAGGCTAGAATACAGTAAGATTGTTACTATATTTATGGAGGCATGAGGGGCCCAGGGGGGCTAGATGGAGGTGTTAACACTATAGGGTCAGGAATACATGTTTGTGTTCCTGACCCTATAGTGATCCTATAAAATACATATATACACACACACACACATTATGAGGCTTAGTCATTAAGATGTAAACTGCCAGGAGTTCAAAGTGAATTTCAAACTTTAGGCCACGATAGCCAAAATTAAAATACAATCTTTGAGGCAGCTATGTTTTCAGTTTGGCTATTTTAACGTAAAATGTAAAATCCGTTTTGAATTCCCAACAAATTACTTCAATGCATAAGCCTGTATTTTTTGCATGTGTATATACACTTGTACATGCACACAAATAGAAAGACAGACAGATAAACCATCTTTAAAAGAATACTATAGGCACCAGTTGTTGAAGCAGTTTTGGTGTACAGATCATACCACTGCAGTCTCATTGCTCAATTCTCTGCCATTAGTCACACCTCCCTGCATGTGCCTTGCACAACCTTCCAAAACATGTCCTGAAAAGGAATATATATATATAGTCTAGGCTCCTTTATTGCACAGTCTGTTAAATCTAGAATGTTGTATCTCCTGCTCTGTTAATAGTCTTCTTGAGCCTGCAGGAGCGCCATGTGTGTGAATAAAGTTCAATTTACAGGGAAGGAGATAGAAAAGTCTAAAGCAAGTTAGCATCTGATTAAAAATTAAGCCATTTTTGTTTCATGCATGATGTGTGAGTCACAGCCAAGGGAGGTGTGGCTAGGGCTGCATAAACAAAAACGATTTAACTCCTAATTAGCAAATTGAGCAGTGAGACTGCAGGAGCATTACCAATACACCCAAACTACTTCATCAAGCTAAAGTTGTTTTGATACCTACAGTATCCCTCTAAATGTCTTTCACATTTATTGAAACACCAGGTTTTCATGTATTACAATAAATTGTACATAAGAATTTTATTTCCATCACCTTTCCCTGTTTACTTGCCAAACTTCTGGTTGTCATAGATTGTAATATAAAAGAAGATTTAACCCCTTACACAATCCAAATAGTGTCACTTTTGTCCTATTACTATATTTTGATCAGCTCAACAAGTAAAAACGAGAACAGATTCACTCAGTGTGTATTTTGTAGCTTTTATGCATCCACCCACAATTCACGCAAACCCACATATTGCTTACTTTGTAGATAACAGGATCTTTGACAAGCATCATACCACATCACAGGGGCTAGTTTGACACATTCAAACTTCATAATAACAGGAAGGCAATAACTGCTCACAAGTTAAATAAAGCTTGACGGATTCAAATCTCTTAGATATGTTATGTCTGGGGACCATTTACAAAGTCATTGCACTTTCTACAACATGTAATCGGTGGTTCTAAGAACTACTGCGGACTACAGTTTGATATATAATCGTAGGGTTTTAATGTCAGGGAGTCAAACTGAATTTCACATATTTGGCTAAAATAGTCAAATTAACATCATAGCTGACGTTCCAATTCAGCTATTTAGCCCTTAAATTGATATTCATGTTGAGTTTCTTACAAGTAGAAAAATATTAGGCATTTTATTGGACGACCACACGGAACTATCACACAGGTATTCAATTTTATTTAAAAAAAAATACATTACAAGTAGTGTAAAAAGAATTTAAAGAACACTCCAAGCACAAGTGCAGTGGTTATAGTGCCAGCATATTGTTTTATTACTGTTTGAAAACTTATCTATCCACATACCCTGCTACTGGTCTTTTCGTGCAGGCGAACAAGTTCTCTCTACTACAGCTAAGTAGGAGAACATTGCACACTGTCTGTGAGCATCAACTGAGTGCTTTCAGTCCTAGATCAGCCCACTTGATTATTAGATACATTCAGTTTCTTCTGCAGGAGAAGAATAGATGCAAGTGCCCAGGGAACCCAGGTAAGTTGCCAAACCTTACAAAAACGGTTAGACTATTTACCAAGGGCGAGCACTTTAGTTGTTATGGTGCTTGTAATATTTATTTTATGTACACATGCACTATATTTTTGTTGTAAGCCTCTCCCAGAATACATTACCTTACAGATCAGAAATACAATCAAGCTCTAGTACCGGTCTTTAGGTGGTGTGTTTATTCAACACTGACAAAATGTGACAAAGTTTAGGCAAAACTCTCCACCACTAATGTGTGTTCTAAATTGTGTAACTTGTCAAGTTATTGTGAATAATTAAAGATTTTCATAAAATGAATCATATGTAAACAGCCTTTGACTAGGAGCGTAGACATTCTGACTACAAATAACAGCGTGTAGTTATCACACTACTGCTCTTGCATGCTCTTCTAGACACTCTATTAGATTATGTAATTGCTGCCAAATGCACTTCGAATAGGAAAAAAATTTAATTGCAATATGTATATTTAAGGATTAATGATGTTTTCTATAATACATTCAAACAAATGGTAATGATTGTCTCATTTACAGTAATATCAAATGTAATTAAACCAGAAATATGATATTTAAAAAAAAATGGAGGCAATCTTATCTTTTGTACAGTAGAGAAACAAAATATACTGTAGTTTTTAGTTAACGCTTACACCACTTCGTGATATCATCTTCTCTCAAATGGATTAGGTTTCAGGGACTGTTAGATACGATCAATTGCCTTCGAAAGTAGAACAGAGGAAAGAGACACCATTCAGAAAGTTTTCAAACCAAACTTTGTAGGTTATCAGTACGGAAACCTTGAAGGTAATCAATCCGCTGTCATAATCGATTACATAGAAATGGACAGAATGGGACAATGCTTTCTTATTCATCTACTCTAAATGTAACTTCTGCTGTAAAGCCCAGTTCTGTGGGAAGGGCAGCGTAGAAATGGACGTCGGGCCTATCCGGTAACACTAATGCTCCGCTACGATAGGGACTGGGGAAGGTTGAAAGGGACAGGATTCCTTTGAAGAACATGATCCGGGCAGCCACAATGGCTAGAAGAAAAAAGAGCTGCTTCATTGAATTTTTTAGGATGGGCCATCAGAGTATATCAGCATCTTCATCAAACCAATTCAAATGGTAATGGTCAAGAACAAACCACAAAATCTCCAGGAATTAATTAGAGCTTAATTACTTCTATTTCTTATTCCTTTATTTCTACATGTCGAAAAAGAAACCAGACATTCTTAGTGGGGTTTTTTATTTATTTTTTTGCTTTTTTAAAAATATATTGTGCAATCTAATTTGTGTTAAAGGAACATTCTGATAATAAAAAATTGCTATTTTCCCTTTAATAAATTAAATTCATCCCTTTAAAATGATAAATAAAGTCCATCACTAAGGCATATGCCTAATCCTCCTACTGTGTAACTATCAAGCTTCATAATTTCTGTCTAGTAAATGCTTCTCATAGAGAAGTAATGAAGACATACGATGCATGAACAGCACTCTCAGGAATTCGCCAATCCAATGCTTCGCGCAGACAGTACTGCATGTGCACCCAGTGTCTGGCGTCAGAGTATCTTTGCAACGTGAAATAGACTCAAACACTATTATTTCTGTTGGAAGTCCTTGGTGGCTGACAGTCACTAGAGGGCATGGAAATTTAATATGTAAAAAGTGCTGATTCTCAAAAATGTCCAAAACAAAAATCAGTTCATTAAGTGTTTTTGGTGCTTAGACTGTCCCTTTAAGTTTTATTTTTGGTAGCCAAGAATACATTTGTGTGAAAGATAGAATTTTAGATAGAGAGAATTTTATATTTTGCTACTCAAAGCTGCTGATCAACAACCTCCACTGACCCAGTCTATTTTCCTATGACTTGTATTCGAGATTGGCTAGTTAATTGGATAGCAACAGGTTTCTAATCAAAAGCTGGTAGAAATATACTAGAAATGTAACACGTGACAAGTACTAGCCAATCATGAAAAATACATCATGGGAACATTTGTGATGTTCCCTGTGAGTGTGCACAATGAATTTACAGTACAGCATATTCCTTCTGATGCATTGTGTAGATCAGCACAACTAATAATTCTTTAATCTCAGTGGTCAACCAAAACTTTCTAATTCACATTCCCGTTATTTTCAAACCACTAACCCTTTGGACTGCTACTCGTCCAATAGGTCTCACACAAGTTGATGTCCTCCTAAACTGGGTTGAATTTAGTCATTCAGATTGCCCCAGCAAATCAAAAAGTGCCTCTACATAACATATCATTTTATCCTTTAGTGCTGCTCATTCCGTTAGCTAAGTATCTAATAATAGATTCTACCTGATTAATGTGTTTCTTAGTTTAGCAAATTGGGGACACAAAGAGACAGTGTATCAGCTCTGGACAAAAGTCTCTAAGTGAAGTTTCAAACTTATCAGTGCAATGCTAGTCCCAGTCCCTGAATTGGTCATGTGATGTTGCATGTGATTATAAACCAGACACACACAAATGGCAGTAAGAAGGTGACAAAATTCCCACTATACTGAGTAAAATGAAGATAAGAATGT